CGCCTATCAACAAGTTCGATATATTGTTGACTGTGCCTACAAACTAGATAGATATATTGTTGACTGTGTCTATCAACTAGTTAGATATATTGTTGACTATGCCTATCTACTAGTTAGATGTATTGTTGACTGTGCATATCAACTAGTTAGATATATTGTTGACTGTGCCTACCGACCAGTTAGATATATTGTTGACTGTGCATATCAACTAGTTAGATATATTGTTGACTGTGCCTACCGACCAGTTAGAAATATTGTTGACTGTGCCTATCAACTAGTTAGATATATTGTTGACTGTGCCCATTAACTAGCTAGATATATTGTTGACTGTGCCTATCAACAAGTTAGATATATTGTTGACTGTGCCTACCAACTAGTTAGATATATTGTTGACTATGCCTACCGACCAGTTAGATATATTGTTGACTGTGGCTATCAACTAGTTAGATATAGTGTTAAATGTGCCTATCAACTAGTTATATATATTGTTGACTGTGCATACCAACTAGTTAGATATATTTTGACTGTGCCAATCAACCGGTTAGATATATTGTTGACTGTGCCTATCAACAAGTTAGATATATTGTTGACTGTGCCTACCAACTAGTTAGATATATTGTTGACTATGCCTACCGACCAGTTAGATATATTGTTGACTGTGGCTATCAACTAGTTAGATATAGTGTTAAATGTGCCTATCAACTAGTTATATATATTGTTGACTGTGCATACCAACTAGTTAGATATATTTTGACTGTGCCAATCAACCGGTTAGATATATTGTTGACTGTGCCTAACAACTAGTTAGATATATTGTTGACTGTGCCTAACAACTAGTTAGATATATTGTTGACTGTGCCTAACAACTAGTTAGATATGTTGTTGACTGTGGCTAACAACTAGTTAGATATGTTGTTGACTGTGGCTAACAACTAGTTAGATATATTGTTGACTGTGCCTAACAACTAGTTAGATATATTGTTGACTGTGCCTAACAACTAGTTAGATATATTGTTGACTGTGCCTAACAACTAGTTAGATATATTGTTGACTGTGCCTAACAACTAGTTAGATATATTGTTGACTGTGCCTAACAACTAGTTAGATATGTTGTTGACCCCTATTTTCATGTTATTGTAATGAGTACTGTGTGAATTTTAAATATAAAAAACGGACATGAATTGTGTCTAGTACTACTATTGTTTTCTGGGCACAAAATAAGAAAGTTTAAAACCATGTCGAAAGATTCAGCTGTTAAATAATATGTTATTGGTATGTTGTTGTTCAGATTGGTGAAACATACACTGAAGAAGGATGCTATTCTACATGTACGTGTGGAACAGATGGTATTATTTCATGCACTGATACTTCATGCTCCGGTACAAACACATATTGTGGTATCAAAGATGGGGTGTATGGATGTCATTGTTTTAACGGGTATCAATTAAAAGAAGGAACGTGCGAGATCGGTAAGACATCAACTAACACAGACACACTACACTACACTACACTACACTACACTACACTACACTACACTACACTACACTACACTACACTACACTACACTACACTACACTGCACTGCACTGCACTGCACTGCACTGCAACCGCAAATAATCCAACCAACCCTATTTTTTGTTATTATTTTCATACACAACAATTTCCCTCGGACGATAGGTTTGCATAAATTGTATTTCATCTAATTAATTCGGAGGCAGTTATAGTCTGATCAGTAATTAATTTTATCATTTATCATTTTACACAGAACACGCTACTTGCATTGCTTATGGCGACCCTCATTACATCACCTTTGATGGGAAACATTATGATTTCCAAGGAGATTGCGAGTACGTGCTTGCCACGTCAAACTGTAGTCACAGTGTTACAGATATGCCGTACTTTAAAGTGGTTGGAAAAAATCAGAAGGACAGACCAAGTGATAGAGTCAGTTTTACAAGGGAAGTTTATATAACTATTGGAGAAATGGTAAGTCCGATGGAATATGTATTGTAATGTAAATACCTTCCTGTATGTACTATATTGTGGTACAATTGAATTGTACACATACAAGCAACACGAAGCAGCAGGTTAGATTATATACGTTACATAAACAACAACAATCATTGCCACATGCATACTATTATTATACATCTGTCACCGTAAAGTTACAGCGTGCCGTAATTTTGCGGTATTTTACGGGGTATTTTCATCCTACCATATTAGGAAATGCGAATTCCAAATATGGAATGATACTCCCACTGTACTTCTTCGAGCATACTTTGTAGTCCAGTCAATTTATAGTTTGACCCATCACAAATTGCAACAGAAATAATTTCTTTACAATACATTCCAGGGAGGTGCCTAGATTGACATACTAAAAATCTAGGAAAATCTAGGCTTCTGAAATATACCTTATTTGCATATATTCAAAATGGCCGTTTGGTGCATTTTTACAACATGGAAAATAGAACTATTAGGACATATCTTTAATTCTAGATGAATTTTT